CATTAAATGGATCCACATGATCCTTCAAGTACAAGTATATACTCTCCATCATCTATTTGCAACCTGTTTCTTTTCATGAAGACTGACAACAAAACCAACATTCTTCCCACTGCTCTCTTCTACTAGCAGAGTGGGTCCAATAACAATTGCTTTATTCCCACAGTGGCATTAGAGCAAAATGCTGACCTTATAAAATGTTTTTTTGCCTCACAATATAAAGACAGCACTCCATCTTTATTTTTCTATCTGCCTATTTTGAAAAGGCAATGTATTATTTTTTGGTCAATTTTAGTTTGCTTTTCATTTTGTAACAATTATCCCCTACCTCAAATGACCTGAAAACTGCATGTCTAGTGTTAATCCGTATACAGGTTGATTAGTAGTGACCAGAACACTATGAGTCTGGAGACAGGCCCCTAGTACTGGCTCTGTTGCTAACTTTGTCATTTTAGAGATGTATAAGCCTACGTTTCCTCACACGTTCAGGAAGGAAGATAGATCTGGCCTCTGAGTCCCTCTTGAATGACCTATGATCTAGCAATACAACTATCAATTAGTATGATGTCCCAAAAAGTGCAAAGAGAAGACTGTGTAATAAATGCATTTTTCAGGCATTTTCAAAATATCTAGAAAACCATACTATACTGTGACACAGGATCCAAGATCACATTTTTTTTTCTAAGATCACATTTTAAAAATGTTTTACAAAATAGGGAGAGATTCAAGATGGCTGAATAGGGAGAAGCTGCACTGACTTTAGCCACAGATACCCGAAAAACAAAGGAAAGACCAGATTTCCAGGGGACTGAGAGCAATTTTCAGTGGCAAATGGACAGAACAGAATAGAGACTCCATGGGGCAGTGAGGACAAGGACAGACATACAGCCTCTGCTGCATGCAACAATTCCTGCATATTCACAGCTGGTGCCTAGCTGGGAGGTGCCTGCTTCCCAGGCAAGGTGAGGAGAGGCTGCCACCGCCTAAAGCCAAGGGCAGCTTTGACAGAGAGAGAATTCCACAGTCCTCACTGGCTTTGAGTCTATCCTGGGGAACAGGCAGGGGGCTGAGAAACTACTTGACTCCATGAAAGAAAACCATCTTGGTTCTCTCCTCTCCTCTCCTCCACCAAAGGGCCAGCCTAAACTTGCTGAGGGGGAGCTGTAACTCACCTCTGCCCCGACCTGCAGTACGGCAGGCAGCTCATGCCGGGAACAGGGCAGCATGCAGGATGGAGAGCAGACCTCCTGCACCCTGTGACTGTGAGAGTTCAGGGCATAGGCCACAGAGCTGAGAGCGACATGCATGGCCACTGGGTTCCTTCCTGTGTACCCACACGATCAGACTGCAATAACTTGGATTCCCTGTGCACTGGGGACAGATCTCCCAGAGTGCTCAGGGGATACACCATAAAGTGTGTCAATGTTCTATAGGGACCACGTGCCTGCGCGGGCGCACTACACAGGCACCATGAGTTCACACTAGGCCGTGAATCAGATGGTTCACTTTGGCACAGAGAAGGGCTGGACTGTGAATCTACTAGCCAGCTCCAACATCCCCTCCCCCCTTGTTGACTGAAGCCAGGGGTGTTACACCAAGCCCATCATGGGTGTCACTGTGGACTGTTACCCCACCCACAACAGCAGCCAGAGCTCCCTGGAACTCTAAGGCAAATCTCAGGTACTCCACTGACCCAGAGAAGCACTTTTCAAGAATAAAGCTTTTGGGCCGGCGCCATGGCTCTCTTGGTTAATCCTCCGCCTGCGGTGCTGGCACCCTGGGTACTAGTCCCGGTTGCTCCTCTTCCAGTCCAGCTCTCTGCTGTGGTCCGGGAGGGCAGTGGAGGATGGCCCAGGTGCTTGGGCCCTGCACCCGCATGGAAGACCAGAAGGAAGCATCTGGCTCCTGGCTTCGGTAGTTAATATATATACTATAATTTTAATTTTAATTTTAATGATGTAATTATTTTAAAAGTTAATTTATGTGAGTAAAATGGACTTTTCATTGTTTATAGCCCTTGCCTATATCCCTACTGTACTGCAGTCTTATTAATTTTTACCTGTTGAACTCTTTATTTAGTGGAACATTAAGCTTTTGACTATAATATAAATTTAAAATATTATCTAAAAAATTTAAAAAAGAAACAGAAAAAAAGAAAGAAGGAAGAACTGTATCTATGAACTACATTGAATCTCTTCTCTTTGTATTAGTATCATGTTCACATGAGAATTTATGAGAACTAAAATATATGAATAACAATCTTTTATAATGCCAAACCTTTGGATAAGTACAGGAAAATACAGCTAACCATCATTTGGTACAGTGTTTTTAAATCTTTGTCTCATCAGGACTCTAAGGAGTGTTTTTAGCCATTTTCCCCTAATCACTCCCTTCCATGAAATTTTAATACCACAGATATATTGTATATATGTTTATATGCAATGTATACATGTGTGTTTTATGCATAAAAATTAAAATTTTTATCACACTCCCCAAGAATCAATTTCTTCCTCTCTTGGGGGGAATATTACCCACTGATAATATGTAATTTAAGAACTAAAGCTTCTGTGGGGGCTGGCATTGTGACATTGCAGGTTAAGCCACCACTTGCAACACTAGCATCCCATATCTGAGTGCTGGTTTGAGTCTCCAATACTCTGCTTCTGACCTATCTTCCTGCTAATGCACCTCAGAAGGCAGCAGAAGATGGCCCAAGTACTTGGGCCCCTGCCACTCATGAGGGAGGCCAGGATGGAGTTCCTGGATCCTGACTGTAGTCTGGCCCAGACCTGTTGGTTGTGGCCATTTGAGGAGTGAACCAGAAGATGGAAGATCCATCTCTGCCTCTCCCTCCCTCTCCGTTGCTCTGCATCTCAAATAAATCAACAAATCTTTTTCAAAAAAGAAATCAAGTTTCTGTGATAGCTAAACTTTTTGTTTCAAGAAAAGCTAGGTGTAAAAAGGCTCAAGTTGATCTGCTTGGCAACTATTTCCATCTTGAATTTGCTGGCAGTGAAGGTCCAAGGTGGCAAAGCTGCTGAGAGAATGACAAGAATTACAGTCATGGTAGAACGCTCAGTTTCTTCAAAGGAGTGAGGAAGAGATGGGGTGAAGTTAGGAACAAAAAGTCGTTCTCCACACCAATTGTTTGCTGCTTGGGGGTCCAGATGGACTCTGAGGAGAAGATGTTCAGGAGAAGCAACGTCAACCTGGGGGGCAGGGGCGCGGTGGGGCAGGGTGGGGGTACAGGGAGTTGTTGAGGTCTTTTTCTTCAGGTCTGCCCACCCCACTTCCGCTCAGGCTAAGGGCACCAACAGCAAGGGAGACAGATACCTACGGAACTTCCATTAATAAAAGGATAGGAATACTATGGGAAGTCACTTTCTTGAACACCTGCCCCCAACCCACTTGACGCCTCCATTTTCTCAACCCTGCTCACCCAAGTCCATTGATCATAGGGGCACTGCTGGATCTTCTCAGGATGCTGCTGTCTGTGTTCTCGGTATTCGGTTGCAGTTCCAAGTCTACTTCCATTTTATCCTGGACTCTCTCAGAGTCCAGGATGAAACCACTTCTTAGCTGGAAAATCTCAAGACTCTCTGACTCTCCTTCACACGAGGACCCGTAGACTTGATGGGAGATGATATAAGAGACAAAGGAGAAAAGGAGAAAAAGAAAGCTGTTAGATGAATGGGAGTGCTCATGCTCACATCCTTAGCACCCCTGGCAGCCCCACCACCACTGGCACAAAGTTGTGAAGGACTGGCTCCAAATACAATGACACTGAAAAGTTTCCCACCTTTAAGCCTTTAATGGGAATAAAAACTTCATCTCAGTCACCACCAAGAAGCTTTCTTTATCTCTCTCAGTCAAAGCAAATCCATATAAGCCTTGACTGAAAAAAACGAGAAATACAATTTCCCCAGCCTCTGAGATTCAGGCGGGTCACCCCCCTTTGCGCATGCCCCCTTGATGAGACAACACTTACTGTGCAAGGAAGTAGCGTCACGTTAGACGCTTTTTGACAGCCTTGACGGGGCACTTGCACAGTTAAGGAGCCGCCCCCCGACCCCGCCCCGCGCACGCCCAATGTTCTGCCTTCCTCTCTCAAACTCTGGCTGTGTGTGTTTGTTACTGTACTAACCCTGGCATAATTTCCTTTACTTTTATTTAGAAAGAAAGGTTTGGGACGAGTGAAGTGTATAGGATTGCTGGCTTTTCTGCTCTATGTCTAATACTCAGTTTTCTCTTTTGGCTGTCCCCTATGTCTGCCGCCAAGAAGCTTGTTAGCTTGCTTGATGTATTTTTCCAGGCTGTAACAGCAGACACACTATATCTTTGTAATTGAAAAAAAAAAAAAAAAAGCTACAGCCTGAAAAGAAGAAATTACAAATTACACTCATGAGCACGTAGGGTCTTGGTAAGGTGCCAACCTATTGAACCAATTTTGCATACATAATGTGGTTTCATTTAGCTTAAAGATACAGTATGTACTTTTACATTGTATGAAATCTGGCTCCTGGCAGCTATTCATCTAAGAAATAAAGTCTTCAGAAAATTCACAAAGAGTTAAAGCAGTGAAGCTTATTTTAAATATTTCTGAATTCAGGATCCATCCAAGTCAGAGTTTCCATTTCAGATGGGATGGAAGGCTATATATGCCCAATACTGCTGTGGCTCATAACGCCCAAAGAACAGCCCTCTAGAATTTTCACCACTAATTAATGAGACATATGGAGTACTGAAATCTCACCTCTATGCTAATGTAAATCACACATCTTAGGAAACCAGCAGAAAAGGTAAATGAACCTACTGAAATGGTAGTTATTAATAAAAATAGTCCATAACAGTAGTATAGCAATTTTCAGCTTGCAAAATGTTTCACATACTTATCTCAATTGGTTCAATCACCAACCCTGCTCAGCTAATCAGTGGTGAATTTAAAATAATGGATTGTCTTGAGGCAGTTCGTGACAAGTTATGACATGTAAGATCATTATCATTTATTCTTTGCCCATGCTGGGACTAGAATAGGAAAAGCTTGATTATATTAGGCAGAATTAGATTAACTGAATCATAGCCATGAGGATGATTTGGAGTCTCCATTCCTGATGTAAGACAGGTTAATAATAGTTATCATTTACTGGACACTTATCATGTGGCTGGTACTGTCCTAATCAATTTAAAAATGTGATTGCATTTAATGCTTACAACAATTCTGTGAGGTCGGCACCACCACAATGCCCATTTTTCAAAGTAGGAAACCAAAGCCCGGAGGGATTACTCAAATTCCAACTACTAAGTGGCAATGCCAAGAATCCCCTGTCTTTCTATTCAAATAAAAGCACAGATAAGGTACCTTTGAGTATCTCCCTGGACTCTATTTTCTGTCTTCACAAGCATGTAATAAATACTTATTGAATTATTTTATGGATAATTTTTAAATAACCTGTCCTTCATGGTTGCTTTGTAAGGTAGATAAATCATTTCCGTTTTATAGTTGATAAAATTCCAAAGAAATTAATGGCACATAATTAGAGAGCAGAACTCATGCTGATACCAATAGCTCCTGAAAGCCGCTGTTAAAATCCCCAGGGTACTTGGAAAGTTTACAAAAATTATAATTAAAGCTGGGTGAAGTCAGGATGGATACAAGAGACAGTGGTTTTAGGCTGAACAGAGGCTTAAGATCAACCTGTCTGAACAGCAGAAAGATATGGGGTACCGCAGTGAGCAAATAGACCTTACCTCCATTCTACTGCTCATTTTACTTTTAAAAGAGTTTGTTAATATTTTTGGGAAGCAATAAGGTTGAATGAATATATTTTAAATGGATAGACAAAAATCTCATGATGCCTAAGTGTTACAGATACTTAATTTTTAAAAATGTAATTACAATAACACTAAGAAAATAGATCAAATAAAACGATAAGGAAAGAGCAAACCAGAGACCACATTTCTAGAAAAAGAGTAGTAACATGAAATGACTAAATATATGAGATGGCAACAAGTCCCCAGCTATTACCAAATAGGAGGAACTCTCTTTTGACTAGAGAACAGCTACATGGCAGGAACCCAAAACCTGTAGATACAGACAGGATTCGTAGTACATAAAGAGATTCAAATACCTAAAGGAACAAGTCCTACAAAGCCAGAGAGAATTCTGTATGCTGCAAGGCAAACATAACATTTAAATAAATCACTTTTACTTCTCATTTCTGCCTACACATTATTACACCAACCTGGCTGCATTTCATGATCAGCTGGTCCTGTTCCGTTGCAATGGGCCATGATCTTGGACCTCCGGTTTACTCAGATCTATATGTTGGCACTTCCACCACTCTCTCTGTATGTCCCAGTCTGCTGCCATCTGCCCCAGGCCTCTTACCTATAAGAGGTGTCTCACAAATATGTCATAATCAGCTCTTTATTTTACCAGTGGTCATGGAAACCTTAAAGGTACATTTCAACTTGTAGTTACTACAAGAGCAAGTCAAACACAAGTTGAATCCAAGACCACAAACCACAAACACCCCAAACTTCCCAAAAGAGTTACATGAAAGGTAAAGGAAACTAGGTAGGCAAGAACAGGATGAATCAAATCTCAAAATCATAGTCAAGGGAACACCCTTCTCACATATCCTTGAGCTTCTCCTAAACAGTTAAGCTCCTGAAAGTTAGGGAATCTAAATTGTTTGACTCCTCAGAGTTAGGGATTGTGCATGCGTTCAACAAATTACTGCTTAATAACTACGTGTGCACAAAAGAAATGTATTCTAATTTTCTGAGCTGGTGGGGGATGGATAATGCTGAGGCCTTGAGATTCAAAGAGATACACGAATTGCCTAAAAACAGTTTCCCTTTTCTAATCTTCCTGACAAAAACACAAGCAATTTAAAGGGATCTACGCAAGCAGAAAGCATAAGCATTGAGGAATAAAATGATGATTGGGTGGGGTGAATTTAATATGGGAAAATTCAATTGTAGAGGCAGGCAAAACCATTTTTGCTATATTTTGAAACCAATTTCCTAACTATTACATTTCCTATACTTTGTAAGTATGTGTGATTAAAGCAATACAAAGGCCTTCTTTACCCCAGGGCCATTCAAGTGGTAAGGATTAAATGGGCTAATGTTTGTACAGCTGTTTAGAACGGTACCCAGCACATAGTGCTATGTAGGTGTTTGTTGAATAAATAATTCCAAGCTTCACACACTATTGTTAGGATCTCCCTCTGAAAATCCTAGAAAAGAAAAACCTGGCTCCACTATCTGTTCTTCAGGATCTCTCCTGATGTCATGGAATCTTAACAATGCTTGCAAAACGGAGAGAAGGTCTTCTCACTAGCTAAATGAGCTCTCATGAATTTGATTCATTTCTTACCCCCGTTTTTATTTTTTTCACTTCCTTTTTGCCTAGTACATCCAAACAGATGATCTTTAAAAGACATCAGCCCCTCTAAACAAAGATCAGTGGAGTTCACAGAGGTTTGAACCATACAAATTTGGAATGAAATAACGTGGAAATCCCATGTCTATTTCCTGTGAATATTGGCCCAAATTTTTCCTGAAAGCTGATGCTGCCGGGTCTCCAAACCATTGGTGCTTTTTGAAATAGGGCGGCAGAGTCTCCGAGCCAATGCCAACGAGGAAGGCACCGGGCACCCCAGAAACGCTCCTCCCTTCGGGGGGCAGGGTTGCGGAGCGGGGCTCTCACGCATGCTCCGTGCCTGCGGGCCCATTGGAGGGGCCGCCCGGCGCGTGCGCAGGACTCAATGGGTGCCC